TTTTTCTCTTAAAAAACCCTTTTTCTAAAAGATATTTGCGTAGTCTTTCATACCATGCTCTTGGAGCTTGCTTTAAACCATATAAGGCCTTTTTAAGTTTAATGACATGGTTAGGTAAATCATTATCTTCAAAATCGGGAGGTTGATCAACATATACTTCTTCTTGAATATAACCATTTAAAAAGGCACTTTTAACATCCATTTGAAAGAGTTTAAAATCCATTATACATGCAAATACAAGTAGCAATCTAATAGCTTCTAATCTAGCAACGGGAGCATAAGTTTCATCATAATCAATTCCTTCCTCTTGATTATATCCTTTAGCAACAAGTCTAGCTTTGTTTCTAGTTATTATGCCATTTTCATCAAGCTTGTTCCTAAAGACCCATTTGGTTCCAATTATTAGATAATCATTTGGTTTTGGCACAAGTTTCCAAACTTGATTTCTTTCAAATTGATTTAGTTCTTCTTGCATTGCCAAGAACCAATGTTCATCAATAATTGCTTCATTTATGGTCTTAGGTTCAATTTGGGAAATAAAAGCTAAGTGATTACAAATATGTCTAATTGAGTTTCTAGTAGTTACCCCTTTGGATATATCACCAATTATCGCATCAATGGGGTGTCCTCTAGCTACTCTCCAATCTTGTGGTAGATTGTTTCCATCATTCGTTTGTTGATTTGGTGTTTCTTCATTGCTTGCTTCCTTTTCTTTTTGCCTTTCATCTTCCTCTTTGTTATTCAAGTTTATGTTTTCCATGCTTCTATAACATCATCATCACAAAGTTCCTTTCTAGCAAGGTATTGTTAGTCTCATTAAATACAACATGAATAGACTCTTGAATGACACTTGTTCTTTTGTTATCGATTCTATAAGCTCTACTTGTAAGTGAATATCCTAGAAATATGCTTTCATCGGCTTTAGAGTCAAATTTGCCAAGGTTTTCTTTTCCATTATTTAAATCAAAACATTTGTAACCAAAGACATGAAAGTATGAAATATTTGGGTTTTCTTCCTCTGTAAAGTTCATAGGGAGTTTTCTTCAAAATAGGTCTAATTAAAGCACGATTCATAACATAACACGCGATGCCAATGGCTTCCGCCCAAAAATATTTTGGAATATTATTTTCATTTAACATCGTTCTAGCAAGTTCTTCCAATACACGATTTTTCCTTTCTACAACTCCATTTTGTTGTGGAGTCCTAGGAGCGGAAAAATTATGTTCAATATTGTTTTCTTCACAAAACATTTCAAACTCTTGATTTTTAAATTCTCCACCATGATCGGTTCTAATTGAGACAATATTTGAAGATTGTTCGTTTTGAATAAGCTTGGCTACTCTCTTGAATGATTTAAAAGCATCGCTTTTGTATGTAAGAAATAAAGTCCAAGTATAGCGAGAATAATCATCCACAATGACCAAAGCATAGTAATTGCCACCAAAGCTCATGGTTCTAGTTGGTCCAAAAAGATCCATATGTAAAAGTTGTAAAGGCTTTGTGGTAGAAACAATATTTTTTGTTTTAAAAGAAGCCTTTACTTGTTTTCCCATTTGACAAGCATCACAAACTTTATCTTTTTCAAATTTGAGCTTTGGTAACCCAATCACAAAGTCTAAGGATATCAATTTGCTCAATTGACTCATGCCAATGTGTGTTATTCTTCTATGCCATAACCAAGAGTCATCTTCCTTACTAATCAAACATTTATCGTCATTTGAAGGCATACCATCTAAGTCTATCATATAAATGTTATCCACTCTATGACTAAGAAACTTAACTTGCCCATCAATAGACTCTCAATTTTACAAGAAGTTGAGTCAAAAATAATTTTATAATTTTTATCACATAATTGACTAATGGTAAACAAGTTATGTCTAAGGCCCTCAACAAGCAAAAATATTTTCTATAGAAACGGAGGAGGAATTACCAACTTTTTCAATACCGAGAATCTTTCCTTTGTTGTTATCTCCATAGGAAACGTGTCCATGCTCTTTCTTGGTGAATGATTGGAACTTAGTTACATCTCCCGTCATGTGACTTGAGCAACCACTATCCAAGTACCATCTAGAGCTTTTAGCCTTCAAGCAAACCTACATCACAAAGTCAAGATTTAATCTTTGGTACCCAAACCTTGTTGGGTCCTTGTGTGTTAGTCTTGGGCTTAGTTCCCTTAGGAACCCACACTTTCTTTTGCCCAATAATACCATTCTTTCTAACTTTACATGTGGATGCACTATGACCTTTTCCACCACAATGAAAACATTTAATGAATGGACTACTTGTCATGTAGGATGGAGAAATGAAAAGTTTTTATATGATTTTTCTTGTGTGCTAGTGTCAAAGCCTAAACCGGATTTGTTGAACATGCATCTTTGTTTACCAAGCAACACATTTAAGTTATCTCTTCCACATGTGAATTTGCTTAGAATTTCATTTAAATCATCAATTTCATTGTTTAGATTTTTACATGAAGTACATGATGATGAAGATGCATGATCATATGAAGATAGGCATTTAATACAACTAGTGCTAGCATCAAGTAATTTGAGAGTTTCATTTTCATCTTTCAAATCTTTCACTTCCTTTTCTAAAGATGCAATTTGTTTTTCCAAAGAACTAATAGTTTTCCTTGATGCTCTAAGAGTTTTAACATGTTTTAGTATTTCATTATGCATTCTTCAAACATGTCAGACAACTCATCATATGAAGGGGAAAGAGTAGAGCAAGATGAGTTTACCTCGGTTTCAGATTCATTTTTGTCCTCATTTTCCATGAGACATATATGTTGGGTTCCTTTGCTTGATTTCTCCGGTGGTCTCCCATCTTGCATGAAGCATAGGTTTGCTTCTTCCTTGGAGTCATCATCGGAAGAACTAGATTCGTCATCCCAAGCAAGATAAGCTTTCTTGAAGTTCCTTCTATCCATGCCTTGCTTCTTTTCATATTTGTCTTTCTTTTGAATATTTGAACAATTCGATTTGTAGTGACCGATTTTTCCACATTCATAGCAAGTGATGGTGAGTTGTGAGGATCCTTCATCTTTAGATCTTCTTCTAGGAAGAAATGCGGATTTCTTTGAAAAATTCTTCTTAAAGAATTTTCCATACTTCTTTACGAAGAGACTCATCTCATCTTCGTCAAGACTATTTTCGGAATCTCCATCTTCTTTTTCCTCATCCTTCTCTTTGCTTGGTGTTGAGGCCTTCAAGGAAATTCCCTTACTTTTCTTGATGGCTTGTTCCTTCAAGGTTATTCTAGTTAGCTCCATTTCATACTCTTGGAGCTTGCCGAACAAGGTTGCAAGATCCATGGTTTTCAAATCTTTTGATTCCGTAATAGCCGTCAACTTGGGTTGCCATTCCCTATTATGCACACTTCTCATCACCTTAGCAATTAACTCAAGGTTAGTAAAAGATTTATCCAAAGCATTTAGATGAGTGACAAAGTGTGTGAATCTTTTTTGCATACTTTGAATACTTTCATTTTCATGAATTTCAAACATTTCAAATTCTCTAGTGAGTGCATTTAATTTTGTAAATTTAACATCACTAGTTCCTTCATGGGTTATTTGAAGAATATCCCACATTTCCTTAGCATTCTTACAATTTGAAACACGAAAGTATTCATCACGACCTAAGGCATTTGTAATCAAGTTTTGAGCTCTAGCATTCCAATTTCCTTTCTTAATTTCATCTTCGGTGTAATTATCTATATCTTTAGGAATATCTTCATCTTTCTCATTTTTTATAGTAGGTGGTGTATACCCTTTTTCAACTACACTCCATACTCTTAAATCATTAGATTGAAGAAATATTTTCATTCGACTCTTCCAATAGGAATAATCGACGCCATTGAAAAAAAGAGGTCTAGTACTAGAAGATCCCTCAAGGGGCATATCATGGTTCAAAGAAGCCATCCCTTCTCTTGAAGCGGTTAAGCTCTTTAAACAAGAGTTCAAGCTCTGATACCACTTGTTGGACAGGTGGCTTCAATACTCAAGAGGGGGGTGAATTGAGTTTTACAAAATCTTTTCGCAAAGTACCTCCTTTGATATTTTAAAAACTATTTCTTTAATAAAGTTATTTAATAAGGAAATGTCTAATTGTAAAAGCAAGTGTAGTGATCAACAAAGTAAGCAAGCGAATATATAAAGACAATCTAAGATGCAATTTTAATACTAAAATAAAGAGATTAAGGTTAGAGAAATTGCAAACTAGATGTATCCTGGTTCGGTCACCACCACCGTGACCTACGTCCAGACTGAAGCCGCTCGATCAATTCTTTTCACTAACTATCAAGCTTGAGGGTGCTTGACAAACCACTACGACTTTTCAAGACTTCGGGCTCTTGATGCCTTACACTTTTTCACTCCAAATTTTCTTAGGAATTTGGTGACCTTTAAAGTGTGTAGGGTTCACTCCCCTAGCTACTCAAGTAATCAAGGAAGGTGTTTAATAATGGCTAAGTACTCTCAAAGCACAAATAACACAAGTTGAAGAACAATGGTATATGACACTCTCACAAGAATAAAGCTCAAATAGAATTTATGATCAAGAAGACAAGAATAATGCAAATAGGATGAGAATTAATGAGTAATGATGATCAATAATTGTGTCCCATCAATGGGAACAGTAGTCTCTATTTATAGAGGGCCCCCATGGCCTTTTTTCTACTCATTTTCACAAACTATCCGTTTTATAGCTGTTATTTTATCTTCTGTACAGTGGGTAATCGATTACCATGAAGGGTAATCGATTACCATTGTTGGGTAATCGATTACCAACCTGTTGAAAGGTTGATTTTCGCCCTAAAATGGTTTTCTCTTGATTCACATCATTTTCAAATATTGTTCAAACATTTTATGAACATTGACAAATATGTTTTCATGTTAAGAATGTATTTAAATGTCAAACAATGATTTAATGCATGTATTTGAAAAATACTTTGAGCTTCGTTCTTGTAAGGAATGAATTTACAAATAATCCTAAGTCCTGCAGTATATTACTCTGAGTTTGGACTTAGAGACTTCTCTTGAAGCTTGAGTCTTGATCTTGTTTAGACTTCTTTTTTATGGTTGCACCTTGAAGCTTTCTTTCCATGCTTGTTTGTTATCATCGAAATCGTTGAACCTTTATATTCTTTTCATAGAGTGCATTGGTTCCACAAGGAGTATTGTTGGCCTTGCTCAAGAGTATGCAAGATATGCGCAAGTATACGCACCCACAAGTGATATATGGCGTATTTGAGACCCCAATATCATTCCCACAAGGATCTTGGCGTTTTTACTATGAATAAAAATTGTAACTGCTGCTCAGAACAAAAATTAAATTAAATTAAACAAACTGCTATTCTAAGCTAAGTACGAGGAAAATATTTTTTGGGAAGATTTTCTTTTTAAAATAAAGATTCAGTTGATGCAGGAAGTTGAACTAACTGGAAATTAATTAAATGGTAGCATTTATATTTTTTTTATGATTTTCTCTTAACTTTTAGAACAAAAAATTAGAATTTCTGTTTTGAATAAAAATAAGAAGTAGCAACAAAGAATGATTAAAGACAGTATTTGAAAACAAGTTGGATTTCAATTTCTCCTTTCCTCATTTGTTATTAATTAAGTTTCTTGAAAGAAAAGAGTTGTTGCTTTTTCAACAGTTCCAGCTTAACGGAAATACAAAATCAACCATTGTTTCTTAACAACAATTTGTCCTATAAATAACAGATGACACATCCCTGTGTATCCATTAATACAAGATCTTGAAGCACCATTCCCGTAAGTTACATAGGGTAACTTCATGTCTGGAGCCATACCCATTGAGAGATATCTCAGTCAACTTTCCATGTGCTTAATGTGAGGTCTAGTGTGGGTTATTCCCAATAATTCCACACCACTAGGAGTCTAGGAGTTGCCTATGTGTGGCATCACATATCAAACTCAGAATAAAAAACACTACATTAAACAAGCTGCAAATTAAACATTTAAGCTTTAAACAACAACTAATAACAAATGAGTTCTGGGTACTCTTTCGACCCAATTCTAAAAAAATTTAGCTCATAACCATAGGATTAAGAGCATCCCAAACAGTAACAGAGACTTAAAATTAAAAATAAAGAACAAGAACTAATTCCTAAGGCAGCAGCAACATCATAAGATGTGCTCTGCTCATACCAATAAAAAAAAACAAAACGAAAATAAATATAAGTTCCTAAAACAGAGAAGCAAAGAAATTCAAAAAAAGACCCCCTAAGCCTGTACATGTTGCTTCTTTATATCTCCTCTTCCTTGCAAGCAGCAGCAACGTGAGCCATTAGATCAGAATCCACGTGTCTCCCTCTTTTCATAACTTGATTAATCTTCCTTTCATGTGCATCACCAAGAGATCAGCACCCTTAATCCGCTCTATACATGCTCGTGTAAAATCGGTTATGGCTTGATATGAGTGTACGGTGAGATGGGAAAAGGCAAAAGAATGGTGGCTATGGTTCTTCTTTGATCGATGGGCCTGAAGATGTGCTTATGAGTCATCAGGATATTTTTTTACTTTCTTGTTTTATTTTCCACTTCAGCCCTTCCTCGTTCTCTACAATTGCTCATTTACCTTTGTGTAACAGAAGCCATCTTTTAACTTTGCAAAGCTAGACTTGTTAACATTTGGGCTGGTTCTATTTCTGAATTTGGGCTAGAGGTCCTGCATAAGTCATTCAAATAATTCAGCCCATTACTCATGTATCAGAATAAAACTTTAAAGTTACATGACCATGGTTTACATATCACATAAGGGATTCAATCTCAAACTTTTTCTTAAATTTAAGGTAAAAAATTAACAGTTTTAAGTCTCTTTAAGAAACTTATCAAGTACTCTCAAAGCTGACTCAGTTAGGATCCTTGCGTGAGTTTATTCAAAATTTTGAAGGGTTGATCAATCAAGTCCCTGGGTTGGGTGATGAATTATGTTGTTCAAGAGTTTCATTGTGTCTAGATTGCAACTGGAACTTAGAAGCACATTTTGGCTTCATTCTCCCACGAGTCTCCATCAGGCAATGAGCAAGGGTTGGGTGATGAATTATATTGTATAAGAGTTTCATTGTGTCTAGATTGCAACCAGAACTTAGAAGCTTATATTAGCTTCATGCTCCCACAACTCTCCATCAGGAAATGAGCAAGATTTGGCCTACGTTTGCATGCAAGAAATTATAAAATAAGATTATAAGAAATTAGAACAACAAAAATTTTAGGCTTACTTGTTCAAAACATTATTCTTGATTTTTTGAAAGACAATCTTTCATCTTGCTTGCTCCGATATTCCAGCAAGGTTTGAAAGATCACATTATCTTCCTCTACAGTAATTCACCCATTTCCTATTCACAACTATCGAGGGGCAAGTCTTCACAACAATTATGAATGCAGAGGGGACCTAAGCAAACTTATTAACCACAGTCCCCTTCCCATCATGGACCTATGGGTTGGGCCTATGGATTAGGCCTACACTAATACTCTCACTAATCAGTGTTTAAGGGTGTTCGCGGTCTGGATTGAATCGATTTTGGAAGGAAGAATATTTGATCCAATCTTTTCGGTTTGATAATATAATCATCCATTCGGTTTGAATTTTTGTCCAATCCAATCCAATTTTTTTGCTTTGGATTGGAATGGTTTTCGATTTTTTGAAAAGTCTAAAATTTGTTTGATAATTATTGTGCAAATAACATATCTTTTGTATGTATTAACTTTATCAGGAAACGATAATCTAATTTTTTTTTTTGGGAAATAAGATATGAAGCTCTACATACACGCAATTTTACTGATGGAATATGGCTAGGTTTTTCTTGGGTTTAGTTGATGGGTTAATGGGTCTTGGATTTATAATTTTTTGGGCTATGATTGGGGAAATGCCTTAGTAGGCAGAGGAAAATTAATATATTGGATCGATTTTCACCAACCGATTCAAAAACTGATCCAGTCCAATTATAATTTGCAGTTTTTTTTTCGGTTTTCAATTTTTTGGTTATCGATTTTTCAATTTGGTCATCGCGATTTGAATCGGTTGATGAACACACCTATCAGTGTTACAGATATTGAAGCCCAAATAAAAGGACCACTTAATTAAACGGGCTTCATATTATACCCCATATGGATCATGACCTAGCCTATTTTTTATTAAAACAATAAAAATACTTTTGATTTAAGCCCATAATAATTACAAAAAAATTTAACATTCTCCCACTTGAACAAAATCAATCGTACGATTTTAATTAAAATAAATAAATTATTTGAAAACAACTCTCGATCTAAGGACTAATTTTTGTAATGTG